AGAGAGTTCATTTTGCCAGTTTTGTGCCTTTGTGCTCAGTGCACGCTTGACACACACAAAACAGCTGATGGGTTTCAAAAAGGACCGTAGTTCACACCCTGGGGGTGGAGCGGGGTCTAGGCAGGTGTTCCTGCCAGAATCCCTGCTGGCTTTAATTGACATTCTGTTTTCTTTTCACTCTCGTCCAAAAAAAGGAGGGAGGTACTGTAGGTCACTGACAGTTTGAGTTAAACCTGGCCCTGCTGATGCCCAGCTTCAAACACACGCTGCCTTGACAATAAGATCTGGGCAGGACAGGAAGGGAGCCGGTCCTCGTTCACACACAATATCAGCTGCTCTGATCAGATATGCACAGCACTGTAAAAAGTCCGCCTAGATCATTCACAGCTCTAAAATCTATGCTCCCGTCCGCATTATCCCTTTCTCTAGGCTTGTACCATACTGAGAGATATCCATTCCAGCTCATCCGTGACACCCGAATAATGTACCTATCGTCATCATCGCCACATCCTCTCCAGGGCTGTCCGGGACAGCACTGGCACTCAGTCCAGCTCAGCCACAACTTCCCACCCCGGAGGCTAGTGGGAAACCTGGGATAGTGTGGAGAAAGCCGGATTAGGGGAGCCAGAGAGGCAGCCAAGGTGAAGAAATTAAATGCAAATCACTTTCGAAACGATAACAAAGACATTATTAGTTCACAAAATAAGGAAGCAATGAGAGGGGCCGTGTGCCTTCAGCACTCCCTCAACCTCGCTAAGCTGTATCGAGAAGAATAACAAAGTGGTGCTGCACAAGATCTCACTAATTACCTCATTTGCATAAGCATGCATATTAACCGGAAGGGCCCTGGATTGTTGTACAATAATTATTGTACAGTAATTACCATTAACACTAAATCCTGCAGTAAATGCATAAGTGGGATGTATTCTCAGTTGTTATTCTAGGAGTGGTTTAAATTTTAAAAAAAACAACGACGTTTTTTATTGTCTGTTCCCTTCGTCCAACTTTCTGCATGGTCAGGAGGTTTTGTGTTCCTCGTCGTTGTGGTGAAATGGCTTGCGGATTAGGGGACGGGGGGCCCCACGCCTGCGCTGGCTACAGGAGGTGAAAGGTCACCAGGACAGGCGCGGCGGAGATTGTAACGACGCATACGGAGCGTGCAGGGGAGAGAGTGGGGTTAGCGCGACAGAGAGAGGGGCCGCGAGAAGAGGGACAGAGCACGGGACCGGGGCGGTGGGGAGACAGGCCCAGGAGGAGAAGACTACAGCAGGACGGGCAGGAGAGAAACAGCCCAGAAAAAGAGGGAGGGAGTGCCGGAGCTGGGGTTTGCCCTTCAAACTGAAACAGGCTTTTTTCTTTCAAGAACAGATTCACACAAGCACTACCAAAACAAAGGGTTTTTCCACTGAAATTAGCTGTGAGACCCTGTTTTACCCCGGGGCAGGGAGATCCTCTCTTTAACGGAGGTGTGGCCTCCACTGGCGTACACCCACGCAGACCCGGGGAGAACACGCAGACTCCACACAGATAGGCGAAGACTGGAGCCCAGGTCTGTGGCACAGGAGGGCAGCCAAGTCTGCCAAGAGCTGGAAGACCGGACCGGGGACCCAGGGAGCTGGCAACACTTTTGAAGTGCCTCGCCCCAAATGACCCCTGCTACAGTACATCTACCACACGACCCTCTTTCACAAACACCCGGCCTCCTGCAGAGCCCCCGTCCTGCACCCCCACACAGCGGCTGGCTTTCGCTGCGGTCGAGCCCTGCATTGCAGGAACGAGCCAGACCCCCTCTAAGTCCTTTCAGTTCTGGGGGCCAGCTCTGGACCTACCGCTTTTTCCACAAACAACTGAGCACCGCGGTTCTCTGTGGTGGGAAACAGCTGAAGGAACAACCTGCACCATCAGATGGCGAGAGGACATGTACTGCTGCATTCTTTTCCTCACTCTCCTCGTACACGGGATTGAAAAGAAAACAACAACTAAAAATACACCCACCATCGCCGTGATGGCAATAATGAGCTTCATTCATTTAATGAGCTCAGTCCATTCAGAACAGGGTCTCCCGTTTGCAACCACAGCCCGGGGAGCAGCCAGTCCTTCAGCACACGTGAGTGAAGCAGGGTACAGCATTCGAACCCGGGTACAGGCCCGGGGCACCAATCACTGCTCCAGACTGCTCGTCTCTCCCTTCACTGCTCTTGCGCTGTGTAATTTGATGGATACCTACATGCATTTCTATAGATGCCTGTGTGTGACTGCTGCGATTTGCCCTGCTCTGCTGATGCATGCGGAGAGAGAGGGAGAGGGGTGGTGGTGGGGGGGGAGACGGGGGGCTGGCGATGCCAAATCGCATTGCTGTTTCCTGAGCTGCGTGTTTGTGTTTCACCTGCCAGCGAGCTGCACTCCGGTACACAGCGCCGCTGAGCCACTCTAATTGAGAGATTTGTCAAGAACTTGCGATGGCCTGAGGAGGGGAGTGGGGGGGGGGGTAGAGTACAGTCAGGAGAGCGAGGGATCGAGCCCGAGAGCGAGAGGGAGGAGACACAGCGAGAGAATGGGGTGGGGAGGATGGAGGGAGGAAGAGAACGGGAGAATCGGGAGAGGAAGGGATGGAGGGAGACAGGCAGGGAGGCAGAGAAGAAACGCTGGAAGGAGGGCAGACCTGAAGGAGAGGAAGGCAGAGGAGGAGTATTTTCAGAGGAGAAGGAGACAAGCCGATAGGAAGAAATGGGGGATGGGGCACACACCGAGGCAGACCCAGAGGAGACTGAACCAGCCAGCGAGAGCCGAGAGGGGGTTCCTACACTACTGCACTGGGTTCACTTCCACCAGCACCAATACACTCCCATCAGCCTGACAGAGGCAGAACAGCACAGCACCAGCGCACGCAGCTCGAGACCCCTTTGCTTCCTGCAACAGGATAGTAACATGCGTTTTCTGTTACAACAGCAGGAGGATCTTGAACACCCAAGAACTACGAGAATCCCTTCTTCCCTACTGCTTCACCCTCATCAAACACACACACACACCTGAACGAGGACCGCCAAACTTTCCATGCAACTTCTGGCACGTCGCAGCTGACTGCTACAATGTCTGTAGAAGCACTGGAAGGGAAGAGGACTGTGTGCGCTGAAACATGCGCTATTGGAGACGTAGGGGCTGTTTTCACACTGCCTGTCCCTCAGCTCCTGCAGCACACTTGGCGTTGACTGGAGGAGCGATGCAGCCCTCAGTGATTGCGCTGCAAGCCCACAGGGGGTCTCCACTGAGCAGTGGCCAAGGACACCCCCCTCAATGGCCCAGGCATGCCCACGCCATCCCCTGCAGCACTGGGCCAAAAGTGTGCCAACTCCTCGGGAATTAAGCAAGAGATGCAGCCCATCCCAAACACAAACCAGACAACGCAAAAGAGTATATAAAACTAAGAACCAGAGGCACTCCTTTACACAAAGGGTTGTGAGAATTGCCCGGCCATATTGTTTTGAATCTTTCAATAAACAGCTGAGTGAGAGTCTGAGATCATTTAGTTACTAGCCACCAAAATGACAGAATGATCTCCTCCCATCTATAACCTTGTTGTTCCTACAAGCCTCGTTCGTGACTGAACCCTCACCAGCTGAGCCATTCCAAATCCACTACCCGGACACTTAAGGTGGAAGATGAAGGGGATTGGAAGCATGGTGTTTAAAATGTCTGACACAAGTGAAACAGAAGATTTTTCTGGAGCACGGTTCTATTAATCCGTCTCTCCGCAGAAGCTGCTAGCTTTGCAGGGGCTTGAGAATGAGCTAGCCATCACAGGTCTCCACTGCAGCAGCATGACTACAGGCCAATGTGCTGTTTTCGACTCCGAAGTGCTGAGCTGGGATGAAAACCTGCGCGCACACACACACACACGTCCTGAAGGACCTGGACTAGACAGCCCTGCCCTGTACACTGTGGTTTACAAGACTGCACGGTTCTGAAACCACAGAAGTTGTTGTTTCAGTGTTCTTGGATTTATAAATGTTTTATTATACTTCTTCTTATTATTATTATTAATAATAATAATACAGGGTAGCATTGTGAAAGAAAATGCAGAAAAGTCCAGCTGCAAGGCGCATAATGACTGTCCCAGTTTGCGAGGGTAAATATTCAGAGGAGCTGAGAGCGTCTGGTGGGATGGCCATGTACTCATCCCAGAGGCACCACACGACATGCCAAGGAGCAAACGAAAGTACACAGGCGGAGACTGCTGGATCCATGGATATATCCTGGAGAAGCCCTTCTTACCCCCATGAAAAACCGCTCCAGGAGCCCATGTAGTTACCAGTGCTAATCCTGATTGTGACCTCAAATCTCAACCGCATACTAACTCCACTAACCCCTGTACTAACTGAGACTAACTGTACCTTTAATCCCACCCCGAATCCTGAGACTAACTGTACCTTTAACCCCACCCCGAATCCTGAGAGTAACTGTACCTTTAACCCCACCCCAAATCCTGACTGTAACGGAATCCAGCTGGAATCCAGCTGTACCTTGAACCCCATGGCTAATCCTTACTGTAGCTGTACCTTTAACCCCACCCTGAATCCTGACTATAGCTGTACCTTTAATCCCACCCCTAGTCCTGACTGTAGCTGTACCTTTAATCCCACCCCTAGTCCTGACTGTAGCTGTACCTTTAAATCCATCCCTGACTCTAATGCTGAATGTACACTAACGTCAAGAATGAGCCTGCTGACTGTGCATCTTTGGCCTAATTCAATAGTCCAGGAGAACTGGTTTGCAGATATGCACCTGTCACTGCAGGCTCAACAGGAGAGGGGATAATCTCGGTGATTAAAGCACGGGCACGTCCCCACCCCCCCGATTAAAAACCGTTCTCCCGGTGTTCCACATGGCTGGACAGCTTGTTAAGAGTGGGAGGCAGTCGGGGAGCCTGTGAGCCAATTCATCAATCACAACTTCGTTTGTGGGGTAATCACCCATGGTAATGAGCCGACGGCTTCAATTACTGTTCGCTGAAGGGGGGGCCAGCGCCCACCCAGGACTCCCTTCCGTTGGCGGGGATCCGGCTGGCGATGGAGTCGGATCCAAAAGAGACGATGGGGTGTGTGGATGGACGAGGGGCACTAGAAGAACTTTCAGTCCGGCCCCCAGTGTATGTACTGTATGTCTATACACATACATGGTGCATTGCCTTTAGGAGCAGATTGGAGGGCTCCTGCAAAGTGCACTACAACGGGATGCCCAAACTGCTCACATTTCGGGGGCCGTTATCATGAGGAGCTTTTAGACTCTCGGGCTGTAAATCCATCGTCTGCCATTTGTGGGCATCGGGAGCAGCAGCACTGGTGTCCTGCTGGCTGCCCCAGGTGGAGAAACTCCTTTCTCCACCCCCGCCCAGGTGGGACAATGGCTCCTACTCGTGAGTTTCTCCGGCCGCTGTGAGCCGCGCCAAGGCAAAAGGCAGCCAGGAGAGTGCTCTCCCGCCGCCCCTGGGCCGCCGGGTTATCAGGCAGCGAGTACTGTAGCACCATGGCCTGGTGCTGTCTGGGACCTCACTGTGACATCATCATTACCTCACAAGGACATTATTGTGACATCATCCCGACCTCATCACGTGGACCTGCGATCCACCTCTCCCACCAAGCATCACATTATGATGAAATCCGGCCCCAAGGCACCTCTCCTCCTGGGTATGTTTGGAGAAGGGTGGTGGGGGAATTGTGCTCATCAACAAAGTGCCACACAACTGGGAGTCTATGTCTGTCCCCGGGAGAAACCAGGAAAGCTCAGCTCAACATCGGGCAGCCTGTGGAAAATTCCTCTTCAACAAACACAGAGGGAAGAATCTCTGGTTCCTTCCAGAATCAGAGAGGCTTTGGCTGTGTCCCATGATGTCACTTCGGAGGGGGGAGGGGGGGGACACCGAGCGTTTGACGCAAAGACTGATCTCCTGTTTTCTGATTCAGATGGGATCAAAGGGCCACCATTGAGCCACACCAGAGTCCTCTCTGTTGAGAACACAGCTCGTGGGAAAACAAAATCCTTAACCTCGCTTTTCGTGGTAAAAGAGTTTTCAGCACACCGATCAGGAAGGGAAAAGGCATCTCTAAGCAGCCCAGGGGAAGAACACTGCTGCGGTTCTAAAAACGTTCGCTCTTCAACGACACTGTCAGCTGTAAAAACGGCCCCACGCCTTCAATTAGGGAATAAGGTGCTTCTGCAGCAGATGAAGACTTGGCGCGGAGCTTGGCAAATGGCAGATCTGAAGGTGTCCTGCTAAATTTGCCCGGTGCTGTAAATTAGGCTCAGAACTCCTCCCGCCTCTCTCCGAGCCTGTCACATCCAGTCAGGTGTGAAGAAGCCCTCAGGCGGGGAGAAGGGGTGCGTTTTTCCGCCGCTAATTCCCCGCGCCGTCTCGCTGTCGTCCCCTCTCCCTCGTGGAGCGCGGCGCCGGCGCTCCAGTTTTCCCCGTTAACACCGGCGCCCAGCGGCGCTTGATCCGTTAGGGAGCCGAGCACCGCGGCCGATTCAAATGGAAAAATGCTGGTTCTAATTGGACAACGGGCCCCGCCGGTTAGACTGCAGGGAGGAACACCCAGCATTCTGCTCTGGGCTCCAAACCCTCTGTTGTCCCAGCTTCCCCGGTTTCTCCTGGCTGCCTGGCACTTCGCACCACTTCGGTCCCTGGAACTCGTACAACTGCGCCAGCAAAGCAGATGTCACCATAATGAAGGGATCTGTTATCGATTAAGGTGTGGAGCTAAGATCCTCCCTGCTTCGTTTTTTACTGGGGGGAAAAAAAAAACATTTGATCAACTGCAAAAGCCACCAGTCTCGTGACATGTTCATGACGTAATCCACATGAGCCCATAACGTTCACCTGGTCAACACGAAATAAATAGTATTGATCACTTATTAGAAGGCAGGACAGGTTGTGAGTCTGGGCTAGGACTAAGGTTACACCTAGACTGAATAGGACTAGTAAAGGTTAAGGGGTTTGGTTTAGGGTTCACAACTGGTTAAGATCCAAGTGAGAGATCAAAATGTGATCAGTTTCAATGCAAAGTAGTTGGGATACAGGAGAGCTTTGATGTTGTTGCTTATACATGGGGTCAGAAGCTGGGCTTAAATACTCAATTTTCTCGTCCTGTACTTTTAAGTGAGTATCATCAGACATTCACAGCCTTATCTCAAAACTGAGCTGAGCAGTGAAGTGACATATCGGGCTCACAGAGATGAGCTGTGCAGTGCTAGGGTTGCTGGGTCAGGCAAACTGTGCCAAGCTGAGCTGAGATGAACTGTGCAGGGCTATGCTAAACCTGGCCGTGCTGTCCTTCTCTCTCCTGATGCCATGGCTCTATTACTGTGCGTGCCAAGCCCAGAGGCCGGGTGTAGTCTTCCATTCTGCTGGAGGAAGAAAGGTCATCAGGATTATCCTGGAAACCTCATCGGCTCTCCTGTCTCTGGTCAGCACAGATGGGAACACCACAGCGCCTGGCTGTAAGGAGGCCTGGTGTTCTCTCCTCTTTCCTCTCTGCTTCGGATAATGACAGTCATGTCTTCCCTTCCCTCTGGCAATCTCTGTCTCTCTCTTCCCATTATTCCCTTCACATTCCAGCCCACTGATGCATCCCTCCTTCAGTATATAACTCTTTCTCCCTCTCTTTTCGTTTTCTTCCTCTCTCCATTCCTCTCTTTCCCCCCTTCCTCTTCATCAGTCCCCACCCTCTCGTAATCTCTCTCTGCAGGAAGCCCCCCCTCCCCTCCCTTCTTCCCCCGATGTCCCTGCCATTCCTGAAAGCGAAGAACGCACATCGATTTGTTTCGACAGCCTTTCTCCCGTATCTCCCGATCCGAGCCGGAATCGGGGTGGGAGCGCGGCCCGTCCCGAACGCGGGGCTGAGCTGACCCAGGAGGTGCGTCTGGATGACGTGTCGCGGTGCGTGACCCCTGGCACAGGAGGCAGGCCGCGCAACTCCCAATTCCCCAGGTAGGAAACACAAGCTCCGATAGAAAAGGTTCCCCCCCCAACGTGATTATGCTGGCTGATCACCAATGGGTAGCAGCAGCAGAAGCAGCAAACTCATTTCCTCCCTACCTCCTTCCACGTTGAGGTTACGTTTTCAAAACACCCTCGCCAAGAGAACCCACAAAAAAAAACCCACAACAGCGCGCGCATGCAGACAGACATGCACATGTCGCATTGCATAACGTGCTCTTTATGTAAGCGCGTCGCACGCCCACTCGCTCCGAAGCCCTGCGACGGCTGAGATCGCCGCTTCAGCCAGAGCAGAGCTGAGCCATTGTGACGGATCTCAGTGCCTATAGCAACCGTGCCACTGCCTCTCATTAAACACATCTTCCCTCGCCCCTGCCCTGCCTCCTCTTCCACTGGAGATGTTCTCCAAAGCACATAATTGCTTTCTGCGGCTGTCTGAAGAGCGCCGAGGGGCGCGCACACCCGCTCGGGGGCACGGCTCGGACCCGCGTGCGCGCGCCCGCCCTCACTGGGGATCCCAGCAGACCGTGAGGCACATTTCATCTGACTGATCTGACAAGCGCTGGGCGATTGAGGCTCTAGAAAATGTGTCGAGTTCCCCTGGACTCAAGATTCCGTTACTTCTGCCCCGGGATGGCAGGGAATGCACCGGACACCCCAGAACAGTTCGGTTTGCTTTGGGGGTCAGGGTTTGCCCACATGGCCCCACAGGAGAGTATCTAAGACCAGGCAGGGTTCGACACTCCCGACACTGAGCTCAGTGGTATTTAGACAGAGCGTATTGACATGCTTTAACTGGCGCTGGTCATCTGCACTCACTGACCACTTTCCTCCGCGCTGAGTATCAGTCCTGACAGCTCTGACGATGAGTAAGATGCCCTATGAGATCAGGGGGCGAGGAGGAGTCTGTGCACACTTGGGGTTACAATAAAATACAACGACAACTCTACACATTTTTTTGCTCACCAGCGAAAAATGAGTTTGCAGTGTTTCTGCACAGGTCCCTCCACAAATATATATTTTTTAGAGAAGTAAGTTTCAAAACAACAACAACAACAACAACACTTTGCAGTACCTGCTAATTTCCTTGAACTCTGTGCACATTACAAAAGCTGTCCTGGGATGGTGGAGCCAGGTTTCAACCCGTTGGAACCGAGTCGTGTGAAAAGACGAAGTTTATAATAACACAGGCAGAGAAAAAAAGTGGAGGACAACGTCTCCACTGGAGCCAAAAAACTCCAATCAAGAGCTCACACTGCACGTGGGGGTAGTGGAATGCAAATGCAAGACACCTCCTAGTTCTGGCAGAGTAAATAATGAGTAGGGAATGTGTCAGCCTTCTGAGCCAGGACTGGACCTGAATGAAGCTGGCGTCTCCCGGCCTCATCTGAACCAGGCGCGCTCAGTCTCGCGCCCCGGACGTGCACAACAACCACTCACGAGGACGTCGAGCCTCGCCCGGGAAATCAGGCTCCGAGGAGCACGAGCTGCCATCGGCTCCGAAGGCAGGTAACAGGGCGTCGCACCGCGCCTCCTCACCCAGAGTACCCAGTGCTGAAGACCAGCTTTGATCACAGTACCTGACGACTCTCCAGCCAACTAGTATCAAAAACTCCTCCGGAAAACAGGAGGGGAATAACAGACATTTTGACACACGTTTGTGCAAGGGTGGCGGCGGTAGAACAGCGGTCGCAGGTGGCGTTGGGGAAATAAGGCAACGGTATATCTTCCACGCAGCTCCCTGCTCTTCCCCGTCTCACGAAGAATTAAGGAGCTCTTCGGCGAGCTTGCCCGCAGTGGGGAAGGAGCTCATTTTCCTTTCTACCGCTGCTGTGCGGAGAAAGCGGAGTCCGGCAAGCCCGCTGCCGTACCAGATACCGCCGATCGGAGGGGAGGGTGCGTCTCCTGGTTTGGCGACGCCACGAGCCCCTAAGCTGCCAGGAAGCGCCAAGTCGTGTCTCAGAGAGCCCTACGCAGCCAATCCCAGCCTCGCCCACAAGCGGCGCTCTGCCTCTAGAGCGCCACCAAGTGGAGAACTGCGGTCACGATCAACTGGGTCTGAGCTGGGCTCAGACCCAACGTCTCATCTCCTTTTACTCATGGAGAACTGGAACAGGGTCGTCACACAAGGTGACCCCCAGTGACATGGGTGTACAGTATATCAATCTTAATATCCTAAATCACTCAGTCAGGAAGGAAGAGTGAGCCTGTATCTCTATTTGCCAGTCTATTGGCCTGTCTCCTCCCATACTTCACCATCCATATATCTTTAACGACCCGCTGATCTACGGCATCTGTGAAAATCGCCTGCCGAGACAGTAAAACACCCCATCCATCACTGTTGTGTCCTCACTTGAGTTACAAAGAACCCATCCACCCATCTGTTAAAGCCTGAAATATAGGGTGCTGAAATACACATGAGGGCTGCGCCGAGCCCCCTGTTATTCAGGGTCTCCCAGCGAGTCACAGGAAAACG